GAAACAATAACAAATTTAGCGTACATGGAAAGTGAGACTGGAGGGATCTTGGTCTCAAACATTTGAACTGTGTTTTCTATTGTGCCATATCTCTCTCAAGTATCTACTTTGCTGCCTCTGTGCCCCACATATCTTAAATAAGGCTAATGGCTTTAATGTTTTAAAAATATTGCCAAGCATTAAGATTTAGTGTTATTTTTAATTACTATGACTTACAGTCTGTAAAACAACATACAAATGGAGTTAAAGTTGACAGAAGAGCACTAGATATCCATTTCTCCTTGGATCCCTAGGGATTTCTTTTTAAGTCTAAGCTTCAGCATTTTTGCATGCTCCTAGACGAAATATTTCAAGCTTTAAGAGCACAACTTACATTACTGTGTGGCCTTCACATTGCCTGGTTGGAATAAACAAAGATAGAGCCAAAATGAACCCACATTTAGTCCCTTTATGCAGTTGAAAAATAATTCAACTGTGAAACTGCTTGGACTACTTCAAAACTGCAAGAAACTTTGTGGTCAGCTATATTACTTATTCTCTGTTATATGGAGAAGCAGTGTATCAGCCACTCAAAAGCCTTTGATCAACTTCTTTGGTTCTGTATTTGTCTAATGTCAACCGTTATTTCTTAATAGCTTTAAGTATTTCTTAATTAGACTTGAAATAGTAATGAAAAAAAGCATTTCTGAAATAGGGAAGGGAAGGAGTTGGTACATCTGAAATGAACAGCAAGGAGGTAAGCAGGCTCTCAGCTTCACCAGGAGGATGTTAATGTGAACATGGCCGCAGCAGCTCTCAGATGTTTTCCAAAAAAGGTCACAAGTTTGGATGTACAAAATTCTGAAGGTCTTCCCTTACTGCACTCTTCTTACACTCCTGACTGTCTACTCATTATTGCTGGATTTTAATGCATAATTACCACATTGCACTGCACCTGGGGAGATGCTCCCTTCCTCCCATACTTGGCTTTCATACCACTGATGACAAGTCTGCCTGTGTATTTCTTACTGTAAAACACTATCTCTTCCTTGGTATGTGAGGACCTATGTACAATATTTCATCAACAGCAGATGCACTGATGACCTAACAATACCATAGTGATAAATAAAACACAAGTTCTTCATATTTCTGTGTAAATTTTATCCAGATGCAACTGCTGACAGCAATTTCTCCAACTCCCTTATCTAGGACTTCAATAATACTCTCTTCCTGGGCTTTTACTAAATTTCTCTTTATATTAATTGCAACAAAAATTATCCTTTCCTTTCCCCACAAACCCATAATTTTTTAATCATCTGCTCACTGTTTTTACTAGAGAAGACCTTACATTTTCTCATCTTTCTTCCACTTATTATATCTGTAACACTCCCACAAACCAATTCCCATTAGGTTAGATCAGCTCTATTTTCTTCATGGCTCTTGCCACAATAAATTCTCATTTCTCAGCTTTAGACTGTACTTCTCTGCCTCTTTTTCTTCCTATCTTTCCCATCTTATTTTTCAAATGTATACCTTTGCACTCTCTAATGCTCTCTCTATGGCTGGGGCAGATTCCCCAGCTATTCCTCCCATCACACTCTAGAACAGCATCACTCTGTCTGTTGCATCCAGCTGCCTTATCTTGTGCTTTATGTATCTATGACCCCCAAGAGCAACTTGTTAATATTAACATCTTCAACTTAATCAGTACAACACCATATATTAGAAGCCAGAGTATGGAAAAAAGAAAGTCTTTGATTTAGTGATGCAGTTTGAATTTCGAATATAGCATGTAAAAAAACTTCCTTTATTTTCCATTAAAGGAAAAATAAATGCATTATTTCTTTCAGAGTATGTTAGGATAACTGCCTCTGTGGTGAAGCATTTCGATGACAAAGTATCAACTTTCCTAATTTTTTGTTTCTCAAAAAATTTATATCATATTGGTCCTAGTCCAGATTAGTCTCTTCCTATCTTGCACATTGAAGGCAGCCTTTGTTTTGCTTTCAATGCAGAAAAAAACACCTAATCCAAAGACATGGTTCCTTCAACAACTGAACTGGTGAGCTGTTCACAATGAAGTGTGCCTTAACTGTCCTGAAATGTCTTACTCATGGGTAGTAATTCATTTTCCAGATAAAAATAACTGATGAGATTACATTTTACTTTCCATCTTTTGTTGGAACCTTGGGGTTCCTTTTGATCTCACGTTATCCATGAAGGATCATCATATATGTTCACTACCAATGCATATCTTATGATCCTAAAAGTTTCTTGCCTTTAACTGGTGCAACCCAAAATAAAACTTCAAAGGCTCCAAGCTTCTGTGTGATCCACAGCACTGCCTACCACTACTCTGCTCCAGAGTACTACAGAAATGCCAGGTCTCAGACTGTAACTAGTTAAAAATTTCCAAACCCGCATGTCCAACAATGTTAGGACTCAGGCATATTAATTTACTTCTAAAACCTTTGACTGACTTCCAGTGAAAAGCTCAGAAGTCGATTTTAGAATCTGCACATGAAAATTAAAACTACAAATCCTTCATTGCTATACCTACTCTCGTTCTTACCTCAAAAACAAAAACAAAAAAGACCACAAAAAAAAAAAAGCCCTGAAGTTCATTGCTGTATAACTGCAATTTAGCAGAAAAGTACTATAAGAAATTATTTTAATTTTATTTTTCCATAGAACATATATAGCCTACACAGGGGTTTTTTAATCTCATTTTATTCTGTAAGCAGCAAGGAAATGCAACTGGGAAGCTGAGGTTCATCTAAATCACTGACTGACTTAAAATTAGCAAGGAAACTTTTTTAAGGGTTCCTAGTAACTACAGATTTAAATAAATAAATAAATACATACATACATACATAAATAGAAGGTCACCTTTTCAACAAGAGTCCTTAGACCCACTGCCTTTCACTTGCTGAACTGAGAAACAGCAGACACGTATGAAGACTTCTCCCCTTTTCATTATGTAAATTCATCTCTGAGGACAAACTGTCACATGCTGCCAACAGGACAATAGAAATTAAATGTTCCGATTTAAAAGCCCTAATATGGCTATAAAAATTGACTGCAGCAACATTAATGATATTTCCTTATAATAACCAATAAACCTGATTACCTCTTGTCTAGGTGTCAAAGGCACACATGAAAAATCACATAAAAAGCCTCAACTATGATTACTGAGGCTGTAAAATACAGCATAGCAAAATGTGAAACAAAACAAAAGAATACATTTAGTTCAGTGAATATCTTAATAGGTCCTGACACAAGTTTTACAGAATGCAAGAAATGCTGTGTAATTTCTCAATCTAGCTGCTATCACTAGTGATTAGAATTTGCCACCTTTCAGAATGGGGCATGCTGCTATCTAAAGATGACAGATGTAAATATTTTAAAGGAGGATGCTGCTATCTAAAGATGACAGAAGTAAATATTTTAAAGGCTTTGTAAATTTAATAGTGACTCTTATCAAAACATATAAAGTTGTAAACCAAAGACAAGCAACACAATAGGGAAACATTTACCCTGATTACACAGCTTGCTAACAAGTATATCACGATCAAGTGCAGTTTACAAAGCAAACCCTGGTAGCCCACACTTCAAAGATTTGTGACTAAAGCAAACCATTATGCTGCAGACTTTTCCTTGTAACACCCCCCCAACATCATGTGAACTTCAGAGCCATGAATGCAATTATAGCTTTCTCAGAACTGGGATACGCAGAGGTGCTGCTATTTAAGCACTACTGTTTCACCCTTCTCTTGAAAAGTCCATCCCAACTGAATGATGACATGCTCAACTAACTATTACCATTTTTATAAACTATGTTTCCTGAAAGAGAAGTTTCTAACCAGGTGCTTTTTTAAATTCAATAAAACCTTCAAACCTTTCAAGGTTAACATACTCTTGTAGGAATCCAACTTCGTTCCCACGTGTTATTGAGGGTCTGAACACCTAATTATTTAAATTTCAAGACATCTTTCATCTTTCCAAATTAGGAAAAAAACTTTCTAAAGAAAAGGAATCCTAAAGGACAGGGTATGAGCCATCCAAGTCAAGCAGCTACAAAAGTTGAAATGATACTTGACTTTCTAAAGAAAAGGAATCCTAAAGGACAGTTGAAATGATACTTAACAATAATAAAATTAATGGCAAGAATTAATTTCTTCTCTTCTGAAGCCTGTTTGTAACAATAGGCAGTATATTAATATGGAATAACCCAAGAAACAATATCTGCCTTCCTCTCATTACTTTTACTCATGGATCTTTTCATCATCATCACTTCTACATTTACATGATTCTATTGAGGCCCCAGTAAATTATTACAGTAATCTGGAACACAACTCCTAGGTTGTTTCCTTTTTCTTATAGTTTCCATGGCTCTTTACACAACTCATACTTTATAAAAACTTCAGATAATTCTTTCAGCATAAGCAAATCAGTTCTAAGGGAGTATGATCATGTCACAGAAGTATTACACCTTTACAAAAGGTTAATGCACAAAGCATCATTTAAATCAATTCACTACTTTTATGCATTTGAATGAGTACATAAGGAATATGACACAAAAAATGTAAATCTATACAACCATGTGGTAAAAATATTTACATGTGCAATACTTGAACTTGGTTGGAGGAACAAATAACAAAACTAAGGCATATGGCACTGGATTACTCATCTGCAAAATAATGAACATTAAAAGTACCAGATGCCATTCCAGTGTAGAGGGGATATATAAAACTACTCATTTTCCTGGGGCTATGATACAAATAATTTTTAGCACAGTGCAATGAAATACCTTTTAGCCTCTGCTTTACAGCTACTTCCAAAAAACCTATAGACACCATTTACTTTTAAGATACTTTTATTTATTTAATAACACAATTCTTAAAGAAAATAAAAAATCCTGGAAGCATTAAAAATGCAATGAAACTAAGCATTAATTTAAAACCAGATACATTTCCAAGGGATCTTACATGTTTTTATTCTTGAAATAAAGGACTACTTACTTGATTTGCCATGTAAATTGTGAGGAGACCTCTCCTGTAAACAGAAATGACAAAAATCAGTTAAATAATTAAACTTTTTTTGCACACTGAAGAGAAATACTTTAAACATGAAGAATATTTTTCAAAGAATAGAGTTTGAAAAAAAATTATTGATGGAGGATGAATCTTTACCATCCTATAGAAAAATAAGTAGGAAACCAAAAATAGCACCTTGATAGCATGGTATCCAAAACAGTGAGGAATTACAGGAACCAAGTTATATATAGCAACTTGCTACTGCATGGGTTCTGAAGCCTTCCTGAAGGGGCAAGGCACTTTGAGTTACACAGCACTTACCACAAAATAAAAGCCTACACACAAGCTGGTAATGTAAGCATATAAACCATGGCCAAAGCCTAAGATAAACTATGAAAAATGCTTGTGTGTAAGCATCTGCTTTTTGATCAGTGCTATGGACCTCAAGGTACTGTAGCCCTTCTGTTTACATGATCACGGAAAGTGTTTTCTACTGAGACTGATGATGCAGAAATCTTGGCTGAAGCCAGGATGCCCTACATTTTCTAGTTGAAAGTCACAATGTCAAAACTGCCCTGGCACAACGGCCACCATTTATTCTTCTTCCCTCCTATTTTTGGATCTGTCCGTATGTCTCAGCCCATAGCTCATACTGCTATTTAGATTAGAAAAATACAAGATGTGAAGATGTGAGCTGCTCCAGTAACAAACTGAAGTAGATGTCACTGCAGGGTCCAAATGAAAAAAAACAAACAGTTGGTTTCTGTACATTTGCAAGTCACCATCAGCTCTCAGAAAGTGGATAACCTTACCACTGCAGATTTGCTTTGCCCTCATTCATTATTACTCTTTTCTGAAAAAATTAGCTTAGACACTATGCCCAAAGGTTGTAAAACCTCAGTTTCAGTATTTTTGCTGGACTGGTGTTGTTAACATCTTGATTTTACTATCAGCCTTGTAGTGTTTGGGATTTTTCTTGCTGTCCCCACTGCCGTTACACAGAAAATTTGAAAGTAACGTTGATGGAACAGCGCTTTTAACCATTAAGAGTTTCTCAATGTGGAGCTGAGTGTATAACCTGAGCTCATACTTGTGTTCATGTCATGCAGGCTTTTTTTATATTGCCACTACATGAAAAGCAGAAGGTCCAACCTGGGCTCATATGTTCCATTTTGCCATGAAATTTTAAGTTCTCAAGCATCCATGGAGTGCTTAAGAGAAAAGTATGTTTATTAACAGAACACCTCTTGCTATCACTTCAGTTAAACAAGCAAGGAAAACAAAATCACAGGTAGCAGAAAACAGAGAAATTCCTACTGCATAGTTCTCAGGCACTAACCAGCCAAAAAAGTGTTTACCCAGTATTTTCTGACCATGCTATTTAGGGTGGGCAAGCCAGGCATCCAGGTCAAGATTTTTCACAGTAGATATCTAAGGGCAAAGGAATATATTCCACTTAAATGCTGCAGTGCTGTCAACACCACTTTTAACTTGCAGGAAGCAACAGCACACCATCCCGAGTTCCACAAGTTGTATTCTTCAAGGAAGTTTCAAATTTGGCTGAAGTTCAAAACTTTAAGTAGCAATAGTAGTTTGGATTTGCTTTTTGTTTAAAAAGCAGAGTTATGAAGCCCCTCTGTATGCCTTCTTCACCCAGTATCACTCTGTGCAGATATTAGAAGTAAGACTCTACCATGGAAACCTAAGGAAAAAAACTCTGAATCTAAAGATTTGATGAGGATGAGGCACACAAGAAGCAAAAAGACAACAGACAGGAAATAAGGTCCATAAATCTTAAAGCAAAGAGGCCACTATAACTTGGAACAAAGCATCAAAATACTACATGATGTCTCAGATCAGGAAGGGGTAAAAATTCATCTTATGTAATTCAAAATTAAATAAATTAATTAAACTCTGAAGCTGGTCTGCAAACGATCAACCCTCTCAGCTGACAAATAATATTGGTGCCCTGACCCTCCTGATTACCAAAGTGGCAAACAATACAGTTCTGTGTACTGTAAACTTGAATTTGTTCTCGAGGGGAAAAATACTGGGTATTTGATGTTTCTTGGATACATACATGTTTTTTTATCCTCATAATAGTATTAAAAGTTTAGGATAAACATCCAAACACTCAATTGTTCAGAAACACAGAATTAAATTTAATCATGGGAGCTAATCTGATAACTGTGCATCTTGAGTATTCTGGAAAAACATGAGAACTTCAAAGATGTCCTGCGGTAACACACTTGCAAGAAGCTACCACCAGTTGCTGAGAGAGAAACACCTTTAAGCATACAGTGTGTGTGCATTCACAATTGTATTACATACTGTGTGCACAAAAAAGCACAACTATTCTATATGCACATAACTGACTTAGTGGATTCTTTCCTTCAGTCTCTACACCACACAGGCACAGATGACACGCAGACTTCCACTGAAATTCATTTTCTCTTTTTCAAGTACTAAAAAAATGATAATTTGATCTAAACAAGTTTTGGCTTCTGTTGCGGTCCCTTTTGGCCTAGTGTAAAACGCAACATGTCAACAGCAAAGACAAAGAAAGGAAAAAGGGCTAAAGAAGAGGAAAGAAAGCTTCAGTGCAGCTGCAGTGAGACCAATGTGAGAAGTAGGTGGTCAGGACGAGAGGAAACGTGCAGACAAGGAATGCTCATATGGAAGCAGCTTCCGGAGCTGAAAATACAGGACGTTGCTGGATGACATCATCTGAAAGAGCCTGCAGCGAGCCTGTCTCTATCTGCTGCTGTTTGAGGCCCTGGCTAACTCCAAGCAGAAAGTTTTCTTCCTCCAAATTAAGTCTGTGACTGTTTTAAAAATAACTAGCCCTATGTTTCTGGAGAAAAAAAAAAGGGGGGGGGACTCTTTCTGGCCCTGTGCAAATGTGATCCAGTAAGCCTAACCCAACCCTGAACTCCAGTGGTAAATATTGGGTGGAAGTTCAGAAAATGTTGAGCTGTTTTGTAACAGTGACAGCTGATGGAAAACAGGATAGAAAAAGGGAGGTAGGCCAAGCAAAAGGGTCACTGGTACACCCCAAGGACTGTATTAAAACTGCAGCTGGTGAATAAGAGAAGAATGTAATTGGAAATTACATGAGCAGGAAATAATTAAACAGCAAAAATAATTACTTAGTGATGTCTAACCACCTGCATTGGGGAGGTTTAAAGATACTAATAAACCAGTTAACATTTCACCCCTGAAGCACATAAACCAGTGTTCAGTGTTGATCTCAGGAGCAGCAACATCAGCAGGTAGTTAGATCAGTGACCCAGTGATCAGTTAGATCAGTCTGGCAAGGTCAGACCTTGGTCAGACAATCTCTGTCCCATGCCATTTTCTTCCAGAGGCTGCTCTCATCAAAATCTTCATTTTGGCTTTCCACTGCTTCCCTCTCACCTTCTCAACACACAATATCTTCCATACCCTGCTCTGTTTCTAATGGCATTTCAAGAAGCAAAAACACAAGCTAGGGGCAAAATTCATGAGCGGCAGACCAAGCCTGAGCTAGCACAAGGAGCTAAGAGCTGCATCTGTGGGACAAGAGGTGGAAGAGCATGTCCTGGTCCATACTGCTGGTCTGTTGTGTTAAAGAAAGAAGAAAAACCATCATGAAAAAGTCTTTAAAAGGATACAAAGGATACATTACCTACAAAGGATAGCATAAAAGAAATTACATTTGTAAAATATCTTTACAAGCACTAAACAGCAACAGTGTTTGGCATAGTTTTCATTTTGTTTCCCCTTTCCACATACCCCCATAGCTCACACCTTCATGTGAATTTTCTTGTATGCTTGTTAGGGAACTGAGCAGGCAAACTCTCAGAGTTTAGTTATTCAGCCCAGGCAACATCACCTGTGGCTGAGCAATTCCAATCTCATGGATTCTACTTTTAATGTTTAAATTACAAGAAATTACATGCTACCAAAAGATAATTCTTTTGTTTATTTATACCTTCCTCAAAGAAAATTTTGCCTTGACAAACTTTGCTTTTCAGACACCTTGGTAATGTTCAGGTAAAATTCAAACTGCAATAGCTCTTAAACTATGGCCTATAAACGTCAACAACAGTATTTTTGTGACTGCACCGCCCAGAGGAAAGAGTCTAAAATAACTGCTAAAAAAACCCAAAAAAGCTATAGGATAAAAATAGGAAGGAAGCCTAGCAGTGTACTGTGTTACCAGAAGTGTAGGTAGGAGGTCACGGGAAACAATTAATCGCCTTTACTTGGCACTCACTACACCACACAGAGTACTGAGCACCATTTTGATCCCCAACACAAAACAGGCATCAATCAAGCAGCAGGGAGGCCCATGAGCACTGCTGGGGAAGTTTTGACTTGACCTGAGGAGACACCATTTTCTCCATCAAGACAGCCAGGCAGGGACCCAGAGAGGCTGTCAGACCTCTGTCCTCAGAGGTCTGCAAGGCTGACTGGACAAATCCCTAAGCAAGCTGGTCCTAACTCAGTGCTGGTCCTGCCCCAAGTAGGAAGCTGCACTAGCTGGCTTCCCAAGGCTCCTCTGAACAATTCTGTCATTTTACGGGAGGGGGGAGGGGGGAAAGTGGGAAGTAAATTCAAAATATAATGTATATTTTTTTTCTACAGATTATAAAATCAGAAGAGATTAGAGTGATAATTTGGCTTCCTAACTAATATAAGCCAAAGTTTTCTTTAATGAATTAGCTGCTTTTTAAAAAAGATTAAATCTGTCTTTAAGTATTTCCAATAAAGCCACCACAACCACTAGTAAGTTATTCTAATGCTACTTAGCTTTACAATTTGCACCCTACTATAGGTAAAGATCTGTCCAGTCAATGAAACCAGTTACATCCTTACCTCCACTGTAACACTACAGAGTCGAACAGTCACCCACATATCATTTATTAAAAAAAAACCATTCGCTCCTTCAGTTTTTCTACAATGTTGCCTAATAAGATTTTAATCATACTGTCTTCACTAAAACTGTCTCAACATTTTAGAACTCATCTTCAAGGA